ATCGCCGAGATTCCTGCCTCCTCGCGGCCGGGGTTCGTGTCGGCGTCGCGTCTCAGCGACGTTGAACCTGGAAAATTCGAGAATATCCCGTCGGCGCGACAACGGTGTTCCCGCGGTAACAGACATTGCCCGCGCACACGATTTCGCGGCGTTTTGTACATGAATGTACCGCGGAGTCCTCCTATGCGGAATCTCTCGTCCTGGCGCGCGGTCACCGACAGGCGCCACCATCTCCGGAGGCGATGCCCCCGATCTTCCGTTGAAATTCGTATCGATCGGCCGTCGCGTTTCGGCGAAACTCAGCACTCCGTTCCGAGCAAAAATACGACGACCCGATGAACGCGCGCTTCCTCCGCCGCTTCCCCTGTGAAATGAGGAACTACCTAACCCTTTATTACACCGAACATTGGTCGCATTTGTTCGCGTCCAGGGGAAATAAACGCGTTCGGGACTTACTACTACGCGCTCCGCTTCTTCTTCGTCGCTGCCGTTACTCGCGAGAAAGGTCACACCGTGTTGCATCTCGAAATAGACGTATCTCTTCGCGGGAACATAAGTGCACTACCTCGCGGAGAGAGCGTCGTATTTCGCCCCCGTTCGAGTGGAAGCGGTCTCATTGTTGTGCGTCGCAGTTAACCTCGAAATTCCTCTCCGACGCAACTCACCCCGCCGCGCGATCTTATTACCTGCGCGGTGGTTGCACACATATTTGAATCGTTCCGATTATGTCAGCTGGCTGTCTGACGTAAAGAGACGCCCGGCCCCGATTGGACGACAGACGCGCGCCCACTCGGTGACACGCGCGAGCGCGCTTGCGGCTCCCTTCAGAGCGCTCGGAGTTGCCGAATGCGTCGCGCTGCTGGCGTCACGCGATATCCACCGTCGTTCGCCGATAAGTGTGCCACCATGAGGTAAAAACACCAATGCCAGGACATGTATCTAATCCTCGACATGTTTACTGTTTTCATCTTTAAGTATAAATATTTAAACTTTTAACACATAAAAAATATGTATACAAATATGTATATTAAAATGAAATTTTTATTTTTAGTGTTCTTAATTATCGTCTAAGTTTGTCGGTAATTATTCTCAATTTGGTGAGCTTTAAACTTTATGTTGTCTATGATTCAGACTTTAAACCGTTTTGCGTAATTTACTGTACGCTAAGAGAAAATATATTTAAAAAATAATAGGGGAAAGTGTTGTACCGTGGACCTATTGGACCTTGGAGCGATTTCAGCGTTAACTAGTGAATTTTTCGCTTTGCTAATGTGATAATTCATTGTGTTTACCGATGTTTTCTTATCTATGGAAGTTATAGCTATATATGTTGTATGTATCTTCAATATTACTAGCCGAATCAAAATGACTAATAAAAATGGAAAAATATCAAAAGAAGCTCAAAGTACAGCATCCCTTTCCCGAAATACTTGGTGGATAACATATTTACTTAAATCTAAATTCCTTTATTTAAATAGAATAAACAATTACTTTCATGGAAAGTTAAGATTTTTCTTAAGATTTTAAGAAAAACTACATTTTCTTATTTGAAAAATATTTTATATTAGTGTGAGTAAATATGTTATTAATATCTACTGCGAATAAATATTATACTATTTCTTAGATATTTTTTTCTCAGTGTACTAATCTTCTGGTATTAAATTCCAGAATTCTTACTGTTTTGATCTTGAAATATTAAAATTTTCAGTGTAGAATTCTCTTAGCCTGTCCTGGGATTGACGGGGTCCTTCAACGTAGGATATATGTATGTGTGTATATATATATTTCTTTTTATATTAAAAATTTGAATATTCATATTTAATAATCAGAACAATAACAGCAAGAACTTGTACTCAACTTTCGAAATTTTACCGAGCGGCCACTTGCTGTGCCGTCTTCCCGTCGTTCACGTTAAAAATTGCACAGGGGGGTTTCTAGTTCACAAGCGACAACGGCGAATCCAATAGGTGCACGCGGTCGCACTTACTCCCGCGTGGATCCCTCTTCAACAAGCATCGCGCGTATTTGCACCGCTTGTTTGCTGTCAATCGGAGTTTACGCGCGCGCATACACACACACACCTACACCCACGCGACGTTGGAGCGAGCGGTGTGAAGTGCGCCGCGCACGCGTTCCGCGTACGATCGACGCGCGTCGATGACTCGCCGTTGGCCGCCGCGGAACGAGACATCGACTAATCGCGCAGAGGGACGACGACGTGGAGCGCCGGCCGGAAAGCGCGCGAATCAGGTGCGATGAAGATACCGAATCGGGGTGAATGGACTCCATCTCGTTGACGGAGATAAGGTATTTTCCATCAACGCCAATGACGGTAGATACGGATCGAGATCGTGCGGCTGCGATGCGCCGCGATACCCCGGCGACGTTACGCGCGCGGATGATACCTAACGCGGCACAAGAGATCACGATCTGGACATAATTTATACTGAAAAGAAGGTCTGGTAATAACCATCAGGCCTGGATAACAGTCGCCAGGTGCTTTGGTAAGATAGTCTCGACCAAACGTGTAGGTGAATATAATCAGTTTGGTGAGTGGAGGTTAGGAGGTTAAGCGAGTCGCTGAGAAAATCTGCTGCTCAGACTCGGTGACTACACAGAAAAAAGAGAGAACTCCCACTTTGAAAGTATCTTTTGATATGTAAATCGTCAACATTGTTACGCAACAAATAAATGAAATGTGACCAAACGCTTTGGTAATAGTTAAACTATTTAGTAATTATTGCCAAATTCTTTGATATCGTTTATCAGAGTATTTAATTAGTTGAACTAGATGAAGAATTTGTTTTGAATGATTATCTTGTAATCGGCACCAGACGGTTGTGGTAATTATAGTAAGCCATATCTAGTACGAATTACTGCACTGCCAACGCTCGACCAAACACATTTGTAAATTGTTGCGAGACTATTTTTCAGTGTAACAGGCAGTACACACAAAATATAAATTACAACGGAAATAGTTTTGTCTCGAGTGTTTATTCAGTTTGTGGAATACATTTAGGGAGATAAACGTTGCTTGTGAAGTGAAGTATGTGCGTGGAAGTTTATATTTTGCGTGATTTTGACCGGCGAAATTTACGTGCCGCGTACGCAACGCGACCAACCTGACCCTTCTGACATTCCGCGGTTTAGCAATCCCCACATTTGCTCGCCAATCCTCCGTGAGATTTCTCCGTGTAAGCAACAAACTTCACCGCGGGATCTTGCCGAGAAGTATTGTATCTCCGGGAGAATTCTATTTTCATCGCGAGAGAGACGTCGATTAAGGTCGAGTGAATTAGTGTCAATGGGATATTGAATATTTCGAGGCGCGCGAGGTGTATTTCCTAATGTAGGTCGGGAGACGGATTGACGGATCGGACTTAATGTTATTTCGGTTAACAATGGAACAGTCGCGGCTCGCAAAGTGCATCAATTAATCGTGCAATTAGCGGCCCGGACTGTCGTCATGCCTGTTTATTTGTTGAAGTCATCGCGACACGGCTGTAAATGATAATAGACGTATGAATAAATTAGCGGCTTGTCACGTCGCGTGACAAATAGAAACACACCGTGCCGGGTAAGGTCAAGGACCGACATGACGGCGACGACGGTGTGTGTGCTTTCTCGGCGACCAGCCGAGAGAGCCGCGCGCGCCTTCGCTGTATATGTGTATTTTACCGGGTAATGCGCGCGTTTTGCCCCGCGCTCAAAGGATAATTTATTACCGTGCGATTTAACGTCTTCGTACGCGCCACCTTACCACAGCTACCGTGATCGGTCACGGTCAATGTTATCTTTTGTACGACCACGTGTACACGTTCTTTATTCGCGCACATTTACAGCTGATATGTCTCTATTGATACACTACTACGGCTCCTCTCGCGCTACAAGCAGAGAGAGAGAGAGAGAGAGAGAGAGAGAGAGAGAGAGAGAGAGAGAGAGAGAGAGA